CTTTTTAAGTGGGAGAACTTGCACAATTGGTGGCTGACTAAATACTTTTTTGCCCCACTGTAAATCCTCTTTCATTCTCACTTATAGAACAAAAATCAACCAAAATATAAATATTCTCATTGAAGAATGTTTTTGATACACATAAATGTTGCTAATAAAAGTTTCCATTTAACAAATAGCAGAGATAGGTTTAAGTGTCTCCGATAACAGGAGCTGTCTTTTAACTGGGACCAAGCAGCAATTTAATTCCATGCTATTCTGTACTAATCTTATAAACCAAGAAATATTTCAATATTCAGAAAAGTAAAAACAAAAAAACCCTATTCCTTCACATGCATTTTCTCAATAATATGAATCAGATCAGTTCTCTTCCAAATGTAAAAGAAAGGAAATCCTTGAACATTTCTTGAACTAGTGTGTATAGTAGATGATCTAAGTGTGTAACTTTAATATTATCACAAAAGTTATGGAGTTAATATGTCTTTGGCTATATCTGGTGTTTTACTGATTTTTTTACTCTTAAAACAGTTTGCTCAGACTCTTACATATCTTACTGATCTCTTGTAAATGAAGAATTTGCAAGAAATCTTCAGTGCATTGTTATATCCTTCTTTAATAAATTATGAAATTCTGGATTTAGCATAAAACAGGCAGTGGCTTCTATCAGTTGTGGTAACTTCCAAAATTACCCTTAACAGTGGATTAAATTAAACAAGATGTTTAGTCTCAGTACATTGCTTGATACTGACAGTTTTACATCAGTAAGAGAACTGATTAGAATTACTATTATCAGATTATATTTTCCCAATTATTTAGCCCAATTATCTATAGTGGATTTGGTTACACTTGATGTAAGAAACGTAGTTAGTGGAAAATAATTATGTTTCTTCCCAAAAATCAAGTGAGAGTTCTGAATTGCCTTAATTCTTTGTAAAGAAAATATCACAGCCAATCTCTAATATTCTTTCAGCTTCCTTTTATATATTGCAATTGAAAGAATTTGTAGTTTATAGTTTCATGCTTAAACTTACCTTGATTGACTTTAGATGGTATTTAGTCACTGATTAGGTGCTTGAATCCAGTATTGATTATTATGTTACTCTAGTATAATTGCATTTTTAATTTAAAAAATGTTCAATCGGATCTGTCAGTAAATTGAATATTAAGTAAATTAAATATGAATATTGTGATCACATTCTTATGAAACTGAATCTGCGTTAGCAGTTTCATACTTTATCTGAAATTATTATACCATCTGCAGAACTGTATTTAGATAACTGCTGTGTAGTGCTTTTAGTAATAAGATTAATATCAAAAAGTGAAAACGTATAAACCCAAACCATAGCTATGTTACAAATGTTTTAAATATTGTGGTGAAAAACATGTTTTGAGGATGGAAACATGTTATATGATAGAGCAACTTTTATCTTCAATAGAGAACTTTGGATCTGTTTTTCAGTTGGGATGCCATTGGAAAATACTTTGTTCTTTTCTTTGGCATTATTGACTTTCAAATAAAATTTATCTTGCTTTTACTGATCTTTGTGTTCATTGTTGCATGGTGAGTAGTACATAGTTCAGTAGATATCAGGCTGCATCCTGTGTGAAGTTGTCCAGATGCATTTTGCTTACTAAAAACTTGATGGCATTGTAGCAAGGATTTTTTTTTTTTAAATGAAGAATAGAAATAGCAACAAAACAGGGTTCAAGCACTTGACTAGGCAGGTTCAGTATAAACCAGACTTTTCCAATCTGATGTCATTCAGATGTCTTAAAAATTGCAATGCCAGAGATATGAAATTAGAATGGCAAAAGAAAGAGATGATAATAATTTTTGTTACTGCCTTAAGATTAA